GGGTGTTTCTGTTCAACAGTCCAAAACACGTTAAATAAAGCGCGCGCATCCGTAATAAAACGTGCCTAAAGGCCTCCTGAAGCGAATCCATGTGTTTTTGTAAGAAAAATATCCATATTTCAAACGTAATAAACACTTTTCTATCACTTCCGCTATCTGTCATACGCGGAAGCAGTTCCAGCGGTTGACGTAGGATGTATGCGTAGCGTGATTAGTGACAAACGCGGAGAGATAACAAAACAAAACGCCGGTCATGAATTAGAAGCACAAAACGAGGTTTTGTAAAGAAAAATGTCGGAGAGTTTCGATATAAGCCAAGAGGAGACTGGTTTTCCTTTGTTAAAGTAAGGACATTTTGCTTCCTTAAACTCGTGAGACTAGTATATCTCAGAGGCGTGAGCCATCCGCCGGAACGCTTCCGCATATGACAGTCAGCAGAAGTGAGAGAAAAGTGTTTATTACGTTTGAAATATGGATATTTTTCTCACAAAAACGCATGGATTCGCTACAGGAGGCCTTCATTACCCCCCCAGCCGTGTGAGGCACGTTTTATTATGATGCACACGCTTTATTTAACATATTTTGGACTGTTTAAGAGAAACACCCACCCACTACAATAATAACGATTGGAATAGCCAGGACAATTTTTAATATAACTCCGGTTGGATTTGTCTGAAAGAAGAAAGTCATATACACCTAGGATGCCTCGAGGGTGAGTAAAACACAGGCTAGTTTTAATTTTTGGGTGAACTAACCCTTTAAGCATCTCGTGAACTCCCAGGGATTTGTTAACCCCAGTTTGGGAAAGCCTGCATAAAATATTTATTTTGCTGTTCTACATTATATAAAATATTGAAAACAGTCTGTAGTCTTCTTTCAGTTTACCAGGTTTGGCTTGGTCGGTTTTTGCTTCAGTTTCCAGGTCTTGTTTCTTCCTCTGATTTATTAGGGTCATGCTGGGCTTTCGCATGTTTGGAATTGTTGAATGAATATAGATCGGTTCTGCAAAAAGAGTGAAAAGATGAATAAATATGGCAAAATGCATCACAACAATATGCTGGCAGTTTGTTTTATGGTCTGTACAGCATTGTGATGGAGTTTTACAGTATTTACCTGATGTGAAATCTGCATTCACTGCCTGTGGCGATACAAACAGAATCACATCCTATTATAAAGTCTATATAGTTCATCAAAGCAAAAAGCAGTTTTTGATCATTTTAATTAATTAGCCATATCAAAAACAATGTACCTTAATGATGTCCTCTGGAGACTTTTCAATGGCTTTGAGCCTCTTTAGAATCAGCCCCTCATTTGTTGAGATGTTCATTTCCTCTCTCTCCAACGCTTCAATCTCTTTCTCTATCCTACAGAGAATTTGTTACAATAATTGTTTAAATAAGACTTTCTAAATATGCAGTCCTCAAGAGTTCTCCTGGCACACACACACACACACAGATTGACCTCTATTCCCGGGTCAAGTCACACAAGAGTGCCATCCCTGACAAATCACCTGTCACTTTGTTTGCACTTTTTGTTGCATAGACATGCTAGACCCAAGAAGCAATGAGTTGTTAAAAGGTTATGAAAGCAATATAAACAAATATTTAATAACAGACATTTGAATTTACTCATACGACTGATGTTCAGTCAGAATCAGTCATCAGTCTGAATCATTTAACACACTCTCTAATAATGAAACCGACAGCAATATATGTGCTAGGGTGCGACCTGCATGTAGCAGCCTTTCAAGGACACTGGAACAGCTTTTTTTAGCATCCTTCTCTGACTTCATTGCTACTACAAAGCAATGCAGTTACAAAGCATTGCACATCTCTTGCCTCATACTTCACTCGAATAGATTTCATTACGGCACCACTGGACAAATGATATTAGCTGAGAAGCATCACACCAGCCCTGAAGTTCTTTGAGTTAAATACAAAAGACCTTTAAGAGATTAAACTCTTAACACAATGATCAGATTTAAAATGCATTCAGCAGATTTCAGTGCACCTGATTTGCTACGATAATCTCAATAAATTAACTGGCAGTCCTAAATAGCAAAATGGTTTAGATCACATAGTCACTGGCTTAAATATAGTGTAAATAATGCTACAATAAATAAATGTAACTTTATTCTTTCATCTTACCGATGTATGGTGCTCTTGAGGTGCTTAGTTTGTTGTGCATCTTCAAGAGCTTTTTGTGTTTCCTGTGCATTACTGCTGTTCACCCCTTCCATGAGCCACAGATCTCTCATGGATCTTTTCTAAGAAAGACATATAGAGATGCTTCAAATCCCAGACCATAACAATTCTGAAAAATGCTGATGAACAGGAAACTATACTTCTAACATCAAGAAGGTACCTTGACATGTTGAAGCTTTAGTTTCTCTCTGTCAATCTCAAGCCGTTTGTGGGCAATTTCTTCTTGGATTTTTTTCTTATTCTGTGGAAAAATGAACTTAAGAATTTATATAGAGACATAGAACTAGCATAGCTATGCAAGTGGTTGCAATACAGTTGTTGCAAATTCCAGAGCCTTGAAATAAGTAGACAATCCCATGTGGTTACCGTAATAGCTTGAAGGCGCTCCTTTAAGAGTTCTGCTTCTTCCATCCTGCCTCTGGAGAATAAAAAAAGAACCATTTATCCTTTATATGACACTACAAAATCATCACTAATACTAGTAGGGCTGTATTTTGAGATCTGTCTAATGTCTCAAAGGGTTGTTGGGTGATATGTAAGTCAAACTCCATACAGTGACACTGATATTTGGCTACTTGATTTAAACTTGCCTTCTGCTTTCTAAACATCACTGCGGTTCCATGAATAGCAGCAGTGGTAAAACAGTCTCTGCAATGCCATAAATAATAAATATCATAAATAATCTGCCTGACAGGGTTTGGTTGCCCGTGTCTGAGTGTGTGACCCCTTGTAGACGCTGCCGGGTTCCATAGACATCCAAGTAAGGCCTTAGGCTAGAACTTGCCCCTTGAAGCAGCTTCATGCTTCATTCACCCGATTTCCAGTGTAAAGTCAAAATGTATCAAAGACTTCTGCTTTCCTGTCCCAAACCTATCTTCAGTAACAAAAGGGCCATTTGGCATTCCCGAAGGCACAGAAGGGCTGATATCGATCAAGGCCTGTAGGCCAACATGTGTATACATCGGGGGTCTGCTAATTGTCACACCTTTTGCCCAGTGGTGAAGTTGTAATCTGCTGATTGGTCAGTTTGAATGTCTCACATTTGGTTTTTAGTCACATGGTCAAGGAAGGGATAAAATTAATTGTTCATGTTTTACCATCCTTCATCTATTTTGTAACTAATTAAACTGTAACCATGACAAAATATTGTTATTAAACCCTTTCAATTATTACTTATGTGCTAACTAGTCTTAATTCAACATTAACTTTGAAGTGCTACCTATTGCAATACAATATAGTCACTCAATAGCAACGCTCTCCCACATATTTAGCTATTCTAACTGCGCTTATTTCCGTCGTTGGTATAAGTGGCAGTGGGTGGTAATAGGCTAGAAATGTACAGTTTTATACCATCGTGCTGATAACGTTTCTTTAGTCATTCGGCAATCCTACAGCCTGAACCACCATAGGGAAACCATCCTTACAAGCTCAGAGAACGTGCATGAAGGTTAAGGAACGATTCAAATCTCGGGAGACCTCTCAGGGTGAGAAATGAGTAGTTCGCACCTGGCCAGAGGATAGGGAGCATGTCGCGAAGCATGTACTCAGAAGAGTACTAGCCCACGAGAAGGACCCGCAGGTCCTGAGACAGGTTCTGATGTCCTGAGACAGGTCCGCATCGAATACACAAGAACTAGCAGTAGAGTAGATAAAAATGGATCATACTCACCAACTATGGCTCCCGCGCATGACTCAGGCTCATGGATATAGGCTGGAGGCGAAGTCCGAAGCCTGGACCTTTGTGGAATAAATGATTTAAAGGCAGCCGAGCGCGTCTTGGCCTCCTTAAACTTCACGACCACTGTCTCGACGGAAGTGCCGAAAAGCTCAGAAAGGGAAACCGGCGCATCAAGAAGAAAGCCCTTCTCTTTTGACCCGATATCCACCAGACTCACCCACAGATGTCTCTACGTAACCACCATGCCCACCATGGATCTGCCAATGGCAGTGGCGGCCTGCTTAGTGGCACGGAGAGCAAGATCCGTGGTGCAACGCAACTCAGCCACCTTATCAGGGGATAGACCCTGCCTTTATCCAGCTTACAGCCTGAACCACCGTAGGGAAACCATCCTTACACCAGTTAAATATCTCTTACAATAGGCCAGATGTGACCTCCTGTGATTGTCACATCAGCTGTAATGCAGGAATATGAAACAATATTGTAAAGTTACAAGCAAAGCAATGAATGGCTCAGTGCTTCCTACAAAATTCTTTATCAGCATGTATAATTTTATCTAGGTTCACTGTTGTTGCTTAAATTATCATTGACATGAATGGACATAATGCTGACTTGATTAAGTGAGTCTTTCTGACCTCATAAAGCTACAAAGGTTGTTTTTATATGTTGATTTTTGCAAGCAACCACAAAGACAACAAAATTGAACGACATGCTGTCTTTGTTTTATTTTGCACTAGGGTCAAATATGGATTTTTTTTTTTTTGCCACGATTATGTAGATTTAGCAGTACAGGAAACACTGCAATGGATTATCATATAGAATACATTTTAATTCACCTCATCTACTTTTGATCTACTTACCTACTTCTACACTTAGGCATATCTTTGCTAAAGATACTTCAGTTTTAGGTTTTAAACCAATACAAGTACTTGTCTAGAAGACTGCAGGGCCGGTGTCTGTGGGTCCCCAGGCTGCTTTTTCTCCCCAGGAAATGTGAGACCGACTCCAGACTTCCTGTCCCATGTTTCATACATAGACAGTATCCAGTGCTGACTCAACACAACCCTGCTCATCTGCTTTAGATATAAGGCTGCTCACTGCCCGGTTTATTAACATACTAAAAAACTGTCAAGGATAGTTGCTTAGCATTTGCCTGTATAATAAAATGAAATGTATATAAAATTACTGTCCAAAAACCTTTCCAGGAGAGACATCATTTATTTTGATCTCATTGGTAATTTCAATTAATACCAAAGCATCATCTACAGATCTGTGGATGTTGGTAAACCCTTATGCTCCAGAATTCCACTAGACTCAGGAACAATCCAAAAATAACCAGGGGTACATTGCCTAATAAATCCGACACAGTGGCACACCAAACCATTGGGTCGCTTTTTTCCCTGACACAAAACCCCACAAAGTTTTCAGAAATTAATGCAATATAAGGGCCAGAGAAAAAAAACGGCAAAACAAAAGTGAAAGAATAAAATGAGGAATTAATCAGATTATTAATAAATACCCTCTTTTTGAAAACTGACATGGTGAGGGCATGGTCTAAAACCCAGTAGAACTCATGCAAATTTAACCAGATTGCACTGCATTTTACTGTGTAACTAGTGAAAAAGGCACAAAAATTAATTCTTACAGATGAAGTTACATCTGACAGTTTTATAGAAAAAGCACATATTCAAAGCAAACTGAACAAGCTGATTGGCAGATAACATCTTATATGATAAGTTGTTTCTGGGGTTGAACACTACATGCTTTGCAAGCCTCTCCTGCACATGGTCAGTTTTCCTGTCAGTTTTATCCTAGAGGAAGTTTCTCTCTAATCTCCTCTAATCTGATCACCAGTCAGTTAAAATGTAAATCTCTTGTGGCATCTGCTCCCATAACAATATCCTGACTAGACAAACATCCAGGAATTGTACACTTATTATATTTGAATGCAGATATTGGACATCTTAAACTTTATAAAACTATGCAATATTTTATCCAAAATTCATCAATATATGAAAAACAACTGTTTGTTACATTTTTGTGAGCATGCAAGGTGTGTTCACGCGTGTAAAAACATAGAAAATGGGGCCTGAGTTGCAATTCAATTAGTTTTAAAATGTCACTGAATATTTTAATGACCAACTCTTTTGAATGACTTCTTAAAATAATAAGTGAAAGTTTAAACCCTCACTTTTCCCCAAACTAAATGTCACCCAATCCACAGACAGGTTTCCGAGACCATCGATTCACGTGCAAATGAACTCTACAAAACTTTAGACAAATCTTCAGCAGGTTATGGGATCAGTTAATTGACCTTCACACTATGTTGTATTTGTATCTTCACTAAGCAAAGTAAAACGGCAGAAAACACACTTACCGGGCGGCTGAAGACGAACGGATATCCAGAAGGGTTTTGTGAGTTAACGCGCAGCCATCAAACGGCTCTCATTTAGGCGCGCGCAGGTGCTGTAGGCAAGACTGACAGTCCTCCCTTGAGCCAATGAAATGCCAGTGAGCTTCAGTTATTCAGTCTCTATAGTCTCATCAGTGAATGACGACAGCCCACACCCTTTTAAGCTTGTGACAATTTATGCCTCTGTGTTTGTTATATGTGGAGATTGCATTTTCTTGGAAGAAAACACACCATAATAAAATGCTGAAAAAGTATTTTTTAATTAATACACCTTCTAATTGTCTAACTGTCCAAATACAGACATTAAAAAATAAATAAATAATGATAATAGTAATAATATTAATAAAAACATAGGAACTACATTTTGAGAAAAGTGAGTTTTGACTAAAATCCAAATATGATCTGTCCTGTGAGTGAGAGATACAATAGGATAGGTTCTTGTTCTTGTTCAATGTTCTTTTAATCTAGTTTAGTTTAATATGAAACCTTTTTACTGGGCTTTAGGGTGTACAGAAATGTATCTTCATTCAAAACATCATTAGGCTATACACTCCAGAGCTGCTTTCTGAGTAGAGAAAAACAGTGTCACAAATCATTTTGACGTGAGGCGACTCACAAGCTGCAGTCAAGTGTCAGACATTCCTACATGCATACTTCTGTTTATTCTCACTAGCCATAGAAAATGAGACCCACAGCAGGACGGGACATTCCTACTGCTGCATCTAATGAAGAGAATGAAGAATGCTGAGATCTTTCATGAACTTCCCAGCTCAAATTGATATCCTTCACAATGCTATCCTTTAACAGTGGTTTTTATTTACTAATTTAAACTAATAAAAATGTAGCCAATTCACCAAAAGAATAAAAAAAAATATTCAAGAGCATGCACTTTTGTGTTCAGGACAGACGCTGCAAATGTAAAAGAAAATGACACAAGCCTCCCTACAGTATAGCATCTGTCATACTTTCTGCTTCCTGCTCAAATGACACATGCTTTTAGATATTTAGGGTGTGTGAGGTGGGGCATTCACAGGCTCGTGCCCTACTGACAGCTGAGGTCACCCAGTGCTTTTACAGAGACCTCCAGAAAAAACAGCAATGGTCATCAGACTGCAAACCTGCTTCATAGCATACTGATAACAAATGTTACCATTGTTTGTTGTAAAGGTTAAGATAGAAACTCTTCATTTTAGATGTTGGTTAATTTGGTTACTTGTCATTTAACTGTTTTTTTTGTTTTTTTTGAGGTAACATGAAATATATCTAATACAATATCTGCCAGTGTTGCTCTTATACTGTAAAACTGTATATGCATGAATGAATCGGGTTTTCAAAATGAAATTATAATATGGTAAAATTATTATAATAATAATATATCATTATTATAATATTAAATTCGAATGAATGAATATTTGATGGATGAATAAATAGTTCTAATACAAGATTCACTGATCAGATCAGTCGTGGCAGACTAGGTCTATTCTTTACTGATGTCTAGAGATGAGACCTCTTGTTCTATCACTTTTAATCCTCTAAATTTCTACAGAATTCAAGGCCTATTACTACTTTTTGTCCTTGTGACAGAATGCACCTTTACATCTGCTATGTGGCATCCAAGAAGGCACTTAACCCACTTTTCTGTCCTAATCCAATTAGGCTGTCACTCTTCCCACAGGGTATTGATCAGACAAGTGGAGTGTGTTAGTGTGTGTTCAAAGGTGACGTGATCCTC